GGAATTTTCTCCAAGTTGTATGAATTGTACACATTTGGTGGTGTCTCTGCCAGTATTGAGATGCTGAAACCAATCATGCTTGTTTTTGTGACTATGGTTCTTCTTGTTCGATTCACTCTTTCACGAAGACCTAAGAACTTTAGAAAGTGGGTGAGTAATACTCCCTATCCTAGAATTTGCAGTTTAGAAACACTTGCTTCTTGCAAATTTAAAATGTTATGTGCTTCATTCAGGATATATGGCAAGGCATAGAATTCTCTCAGTCTAAGCCACAAGCACGTGTTGATGTGAGTTTCTAGTTTCTCACACTCTGGTCACAAACATTCACAACTTTTCATTTGTAGATTATGACCAATATTTTGTCTAAGTAAGAAGTTTCTGTTTAGGGTTCAACTGGAGTCACATTTAATGATGTAGCTGGGATTGAGGAAGCAGTAGAAGAACTTCAAGAGGTAACAATGCCTTACACCACATATAATACTTCCTTATTGTGTATTCCTTCCATCCCAATTTATGTGATGTAGTTTGTCTGGGCACAGAGTTTTGAGAAATATGAGAAGAGTGTGCTATATTCCAAAACTACCCTTAATAAATGAATTTTTATATAGAAGAGCACATCTTTGTAAACTTTTTGCCAAATAAGTGGTCCAATATGGGTAAAATGTTGATAGTGTCATTAAACATTTGCCAAAGAAGGAAAGTGTGTCACATAAACTTAGGGAGAGTAATATTCTTTTCCATTATAATGTGGGAAAGCTTGTCCCTCAGCCACAATCTAAATGGTTCTAATTCCTGCCATTTTTTGCCAACTAGTTGGTAAGATACCTGAAGAATCCTGAACTATTTGATAAAATGGGGATCAAGCCCCCACATGGAGTTCTTCTGGAGGGACCTCCTGGATGTGGCAAGGTATGCTGTCCATTTCAGACCTTAGATGGGATTTCCAAAAAAAAAGAAAGTAGAGGCTCTTCACTAAATATATATGATGCTTTTCTCAGACCCTGGTTGCCAAGGCAATAGCAGGTGAAGCTGGTGTTCCTTTTTACCAAATGGCGGGTTCTGAATTTGTGGAAGTTCTAGTCGGTGTTGGTTCTGCTCGTATTAGAGATTTGTTCAAGAGAGCCAAGGTGAGCATAATACGTAGTCAATGAACCATGTGACTTCCCTTTTTATGTTTTGAAGAATGCCCTCATTCTTGTCACAGGTGAATAAACCATCAGTTATCTTCATTGACGAAATTGATGCACTCGCAACCAGGTATGGATATTTGTCTAAATAAATAATGGTGAACGTGTATTTTTTTACTGGTTTAGCATAGCACAAAGGGAAATCTGGAGCTGAAGCATCTGGGCATTTTTCATGTAGTAACCCCTTTAGTGGTAGAACTATTGAAATTGGGTTTTTGAACCTGAAGGTACTAATGTCATGTTGTGGACAACGCTAATGTCTTCAGTGTGTTGCTGTCTAGATATTCTTTTTAATCGCAAAGAAATAACTTTGCCATTCATAAATGACCTGTAGACATGTGCAGTGGTTATAGTTTCTCAAAATTATTATTCTTAATAAACAGGCGTCAAGGAATATTTAGTGAATCAACTGATCACCTCTATAATGCGGCAACTCAAGAAAGGGAAACTACTTTAAACCAGTTGTTGATCGAGCTAGATGGATTTGATACTGGGAAAGGTGTTATATTCCTAGGGGCTACAAATCGAAGGGATTTATTAGATCCTGCCCTTCTTCGTCCTGGTAGATTTGATCGCAAGGTTTGTTCTCCTATTGAATTGAATTCTTTATCAACTCAGCTCCTCATGACTTAAATCACTCTATTCATGTTCTGTCGGTATGTGCGCGTTGGTTGGGAGGAGGTAGACAACATTTTCCATGTTTATAGAACTCTCTTGACTTACTGATTCTTTCCATAAAGATGTTTCTATATGCTGAATATTATGATAAAAACTAATCAACCCCCCAAAAAAGTGTAAGGATTCCACAACAAACTGTAATACAGTATGTTATTTTATGCGATGCCTAGTGTACTGCAAAGTTCCTTTACAAAGTCCTTGGATGGGGCCACTGTGTTTGGGCTTTTGAATCCTAATAGGTGCTGTTTATGGGCAAAACATTGTTTGACTTGGAAGGTAGGAATCATTTTTTTGTTTCAGTCGACTTGTTAATTATGTTGAGACGCCGATAGCTTTTGGTAGATTCTATAGAGAATAAGTACCCTGAACAAAATACCTTACCTTTTACTGTAAATCCCAGATGTAACTACTACTAGAATACACTATTGGTGTATCTTGTCTATAAAATGTTAACTTTATCAAAAAAAAAAATACCTTACCTTTTCAAAAATAAAGAGTGCCCTGAACTTAATATAACATCATAAGTTAATATAGTTTAGTTGAGATAATGAGTCAGTTTAAGAAGTGTTGAATTACTTATAGTAGCTATGTGATCTTTATTCCTCACTTCTTTCTGGAACACCACATTTCATGCTTGTTACATTTCTCTCTTTCAGATAAGAATTCGGCCTCCCAATGCAAAAGGAAGATTGGAAATTTTGAAAGTACATGCACGGAAAGTTAAATTATCAGATACTGTTGATTTGTCTAGTTATGCCCAAAATTTACCTGGTATTCAACTTTACTTCCTTTCTGTTCATACAAGATCATCTTCAGGCCACTAGTCTTTTCCTCCCATGACTCTAAAAGATTTCATTTCCCTGATGCCAGTGGAAGATAGGGTTAATGCTATAGTTCATCCATATTTTCTTGCATTATAGTGATCTCATTTTAAATCCTGCTCCTGATCTGCTAAATGGTGGTCTTCCACTTCAGGATGGTCGGGTGCAAAGCTGGCTCAGCTTCTCCAGGAGGCTGCTCTAGTAGCAGTCAGGAGAGGGCATAACTCAATTCTTCATTCAGATATGGATGATGCAGTTGACCGACTTACAGTTGGACCTAGACGAGTTGGGATTGAGTTGGGTCATCAGGGGCAGTGTCGTCGAGCAATTACTGAGGTGGGGACTGCATTGACTTCTCATCTTTTGAGGCAATATGAGAATGCAGAAGTTGAGCGTTGTGACAGAATATCTATCAATCCGCGTGGCCAGGTTTGTTTGTTCTCTAGTTGCTTCATCTTTCAACATCATATTTTGCACCTCACTCTTTTTTACTCCCTCCATTCCAAATCGAACATGTATTGATTGTGTCTTGCATACGTTTTTACTGGAGAATTCATCTGAACATGTAAATTGTTTCCCATGATTGCTGAAAATTTAAAAGTGGCATGCAGACCTTGTCTCAAGTTGTGTTTCACCGTCTTGATGATGAGTCATACATGTTTGAGCGGCTACCACGGTTGCTTCATCGTCTTCAGGTGCTAATTTTTAAAGTCTTATGCTAATTTTTGCTTGCACTTTTTCTTCCTACATGCAAAGCTGATGATTGCATTATGTACATCTTTGAACAAGGTATTTCTTGGAGGGAGAGCTGCTGAAGAGGTCATTTATGGACGTGATACTTCAAGAGCATCTGTAAACTACCTTGCTGATGCATCCTGGCTTGCTCGTAAGATAATCACAATGTACGTATTTATTAGTTATGATTTAGTTGGCGTTGCCGTATCTGCCAGAGCCATGACTTTTGTCCTTGAACAGATGGAATATGAAAAACCCAATGGCCATACACGGAGAACCTCCCCCGTGGGTAAAGAGAGTGAAGTTTGTGGGTCCACGCCTTGACTTCGGAGGATCACTATATGATGATTATGACTTAATTGAGCCACCGATCAACTTTAATTTGGATGATGATGTTGCTAAGAAGACAGAAGAGCTTATATGTGACATGTATGGGAAGACAGTTACTCTGCTGAGGCAGCATGATACTGCCCTACTCAAAACAGTGAAGGTAGTTCTCGACACGTTGAATCAGTTATCTTATAGACTTGTTTTTCAAACTTTTCTATCCTTAAATTTGCAGCAACTCTGTTGAATAAACTTGATGTTTGTAATGCTTCTTTTTAGAAAAGGCTCCACCAATTGTGCATAGATTAGAAGTTACTTAGGTCCAAATTATTTAGTATAACCAGATGCAGAGATCATTGATTCCTGTGCATGTTTATCCTAGGTTCTTCTGAATCGGACTGAGATCAGTGGAGACGAGATCGACTTAATCCTGAGCCACTATCCACCAAATACACCCACAAGTCTTCTGCTGGAGGAGAGAGATCCCGCGAGTCTTCCATTTGTTGACGAAAAGGAAGGACAGCATAATAACATCGAGTACAGTCTGTCTTCATGAGAAAACGGAATCCTTGATCCAGTACACGGAGGAGCTTTCTACCCTATTCGAAGCCAGTTTTGACGTGCATTCAGAACAAGAAATATTACAGCTGAGAACTTTCTGAGAAATAGTGAGATGCTAAAAAATGCAGTTTTGTTTGCAGTATGTATCCATATCAATAGGAATTTTGTTAAAATTGTTGATTTGTCCCATAGATTTATTCTTCTGTGATTCTTGTATCCAGTTGCTTTTTCTGTAGGTATACACTACTGAAGAGGCAAAAATCTTCAACAAAATAAATATAAGAAAAGTTGTTGAATTACGCTGGGTATGTTGTTATTGACCTTAGATATTGAGATTCGACGAAATACAATGCATTTTTTTAAAAGTTGAAAACATTGAAAATTTTGTGACAGTTGATTTGGTTTAGTAGTCAATACACTATTTATTGATGTTTTTGGTGAATAGAGTTATCTGATGCAAGTGTTAAAATTCTCTCTAATTTGAGTTTTGACTTATAAGTTATATATACTATGGACCTCTATTTTTGATATGGTGGACAAATAACACTTTACGTAGCATTGAATTACCTTTTAAATATTTTATTTAACCTTTATATTTAGACATAATATATAAACGTATCGTTAAAAATCATGTTTACGTGTTATGCCTTATACACTAAAAATGTCAAAGTGATAAAAAAAGAAAAAAAACCCGCTAGTTGGGGAATTCAATACATTTGTTCTCCACGAAAAAAATCACAAAAACTCATTAAAAAAAACCACAAAAACAAGATTCCCTTTTTCTTCATCTTCTTCCTCTTTCTTCTGATCAAAACTCAATAAAACCAAAAAAATAAATAAATTATACTCTATGCAATCGGCTCTCAATCATGAAATATAGTATTGAGAAGAGATGACGAAACCTCGTAACATCGTATACAACGATGTAGTCTCCAAACCTCAGCTGTCTTTGCGGCTCTTCTTTTCTATTTTCTGTGCCCTTCTGCTTTTCTATTCTATGTTCGTTTATGGATATGGAGGTAAAATTTCGTATACCCATTTGGGTTTTCTTTCATTATAATTATTTTTTTCTAACATGGGTAATTTGAAAAAATAATTAAAATCCACCCAAAAAGAGAGATTTTTATGTGAATGCTGATGACCCTTTGTTACTTTCTTGGTAAGTGTTTTCTTAAATGAACATTTTAGTGTGATTTAGTTCTATTAAATGTTTAAAAAGAGTTACTTGGGTATATGGTGTTTAAAAATTTAGCTAATTTAGTTCTAGGAGGAGCTTAGTAGAAAAAAGATCCTTTGTTGTTTTCTTGGTGACTGTCCTTTTGAATGTATATTTAGTGTAATTGAGTGTTATTGAATGCTTAAAAAGACTTACTTGAGCACATACTCGAGCCGGGGATCTATAGGAAACAGGCTCTTTACCTCCCAAGGTAGGGGTAAGGTCTACATACATTGTACCTCCTCGAACTCCATTTGTGGGATTATGCTAGGTATCTTGTTGTTCTTGGCACACGATGTTAAAAAATTTAGCTAAGTTAGGAAGAGCTTAGTAGAAAAAAGTACTTTGTTGCTTTCTTGGCGACTGTCCTCTTAGATGCGAATTTAGTGTATTTCAGTGCTATCAAATGCTTAAAAAGATTTACTTGGGCATAGGCTGTTTACAAATTTAGCTAATTTAGCTCCATGAGGAGCTTAGTAGAAAAAAGATCCTTTGTTACTTTCTTGGTGACTGTCATCTTGAATGAACATGTAGTGTAAGTTAGTGCTATTAGCTGTTTAAAAAGACTTACTTGGGCTTATGGTGTTTACAAATTTAGCTAATTTAGTTCAAGGAGGAACTTAGTTACAGATGACTTTGTTTTTTTTTCTTTCAGTTTTCATTTGTTTTTTATGAATCATCTTTAAGAAAATTAAAGTGAACTCTTCTAATGCTTGAAGTTTGTTGTTTATGGAGTTTGAAAGTAAGTGAATAAGTATTAAAAAGTTTTTGTTTTTATAGATTTATAAACAATACCTTGTAAAGTGTAAGAGAAAAAGATGATACATGAGATGTATTTATTGGTTTGGCATAAATACTGGGCATGAGTAAGCTTTTTTCTTATTAGACTCGATTTTCCTGTGAAGTTTTAGTAGCTTCTACTGTTCTTTTTCTTCCCTCTGATTATGTCGTTGTTCTTTCAGAACTATTTTTCTTTTCACATTTGGGTGAGACATTTGTTGGTCCCTTAACTCTCACCCAAATGTCAATTTCTGAAGTTGGAAAACTTGAAGTATCTAATTTATGTTTAGTGGGCTTGAGGCTAGTTTAGCATGTGGAGCATAATAAATGATCTTTTAAAGCTCATTTATTAGTTCTCTGAATGATATATGGTTCCAATGGAATTTTGTGCAGGGATTTCTCTTGCCTATGCTGAGACTCTTACCAATTATAGTGTTAATGATAGAGAGTTCAACAGCTCCACTCAACCGCTTTTAGAAAGCAGAGGGAAGAGCAGCAAAACTGAAGTACTATTGGAACTCAACATATCAGTTAAGATTAATGATTCTTGTAGTCCTACAGATAACATTGCAACCCCTGTGCATTCACTGCAAAAAACAAGTGCATTGGAGGATGCAGTTTCTACTATTTTAGGTTACAACATGTTAATATGCCAAATGCAGCCAAAAGTAGTGCATAGCCGTCGTAATGAAGGTCGGCTACTCAATGGAAGAACTCAATTGACCTATCCGAATCTGGAAGAATTTAGAAGCATTACAAAACAAGAAAAGATAGGGAGCACAGCAAGTCAGTTAGTAAATATCACCCACAGGCTTGAGCCTGATGGTACGCCCTACAATTATGCCTCGTCATCCAAGGGTGCTAAAGTGGTGGCCCACAATAAAGAAGCAAAAGGAGCAAACAACGTACTGAACAAGGATCATGATAAGTATCTCAGAAACCCTTGTTCTGTGGTCGGGAAATTCTTTGTTATTGAGCTTGCAGATGAAACTCTAGTTGATGCAGTCAAAATTGCAAATTTCGAGCATTATTCATCTAGGCTAAAAGAATTTGAGTTATCCGGGAGTCTGGTATATCCAACTGAGACGTGGAATCCACTGGGAACTTTTGTTGCAGAAAATGTCAAGCATGCTCAGTGTTTTAAGCTACCTGAACCAAAATGGGTTAGATACTTGAAGCTAAATTTACTCACGCATTATGGTTCTGAATTTTATTGTACTATCAGTTTTATCGAGGTCTATGGTATTGATGCCATAGAGCAGATGCTTGAGGATCTTATCGTCCATTCCCCTGAGTCTTCTCCTGATAAAATGGGAAATCTTAACAAAACTGCTATGCTGTCTATTATACCAGATTCAGGTTCTGACTACCATGAAACAAAGGGTATCGTCCAAAATGTGGTAGAGTCTGCAAACCAGGGGCTAGAAAATTTTGATGAAGGGCAAGGTACTAATTTAGATGCAACAAGGAAAAAACAAACCATAACCAATGGCCCTGAGTTTATAAAAAAGCATAGGCAGCAATCAAATGGCAGAACTCATGGCGATGCAGTCCTAAAAATACTGCTGCAAAAGGTGAGAGCACTTGAATTGAACTTATCTGTCCTGGAGCAGTACATTAAAGAGCTGAGCAAGAGGCAAGGTGACATTCTGCCTGAGCTAGATAATGAAATTTCTCAAGTTTCAGATCTCCTAGAGAAAAGCAAATTAGAGATCAAGGATCTTCTGAAATGGAAAGAGAATATGGTGTGCCTAACTATTTCTTTTTTGTTGCTAATGAGCAGACTAATGCACACATTTCAGTCATAAAAAGCAAGCTCTTTTTCCTTGCAGGAGAAAGAAAATAGTGATCTTGAATCTTGGAAAGCTTCTGTATCAGCTCAATTGGATTTATTGGTCAACGGAAATCGCATGCTAAGGTAGTAGATCTCATGTAACCCCCTTAACTAACTTGTATCCTTGTACTATAAGTTGATTTTGTGTTATTATCTGAGTGAATCGCGTCTGTTTATCTTGATTCTTTCTTCTTTAATTGTTTGTGTTCCCGGTAGCTGCAGATTTGCTGTATCTCAAATTGAATTTAGAAGTTTTAAAAGAACTTGAAACCCTGAAGCTATAGGATTATCAAAGTTTTAGGAAGTCAGTTGGAGTTTGATGTTGAACTGAGTAAATGGTCCATTTTAGATTTTATCTTATGTTTCTCTTAGCACCTCATAAAAGAAGAAGCGGGGCTCTTTTTTGTAGTATTTAAAATGGAAAGCTGAAAGCAGCTATCTGAGCATAATTATATTTCCTGTCCCCAGTAAAAATGAGGCGATGGACAGGAAAAAGTTAATATCTGAAGACCGTTTTAATATTTTTCTAAAGAAATACAACCAGAGGGTTTAAAATGTGTTTTCATGCATCACAATGTTATGCATTCAGAGAAAAAAGGTTGTTCTGTTGGTGTATTTGACTCTTATTGTTTCAAAGCAATTCATGTGGGATGATCCAGTACTTTTGCATTTGTTTGATCCGTAGTATTCTACTTTGTAAAAACTAGGTCGACTTTTGATGATTTCATATCCTTATTTTTCATGGTTAAGATAGTTAAAACTTTTCGAGAAATGATATGCATTGTGACTCAATCATGAATGAACTGGCAAATTAGTAGTCTGTTACGCGCTTCTTCATAAGCTTATCTTACATGAGTACAAAGCGAGTTGTTACAAAAAGGTGTAAGGTTCTATTTGGCAACTTGAATATAAAGCCCTGGCCGAGCAATGGAAAACCCTGCTGCTGCTTTCAGTACCTGTTGGACAATCTCTTTATAATATTTAGTTTGAGGGGGAGAAGGAAAAATAAGTCACGTAGGACAAACTGCAACACATACTGTAAACCGCATGCAGACCTCTAAAATCCTAGCTCGGTGATTTTGCATTTTACTTGAAGAGGGTTTTAGGCTTCTGGAAGATAGAAGGGTTGGTTTTGAGATATGCATCCTATAGTAAATGCTTGAACTTTGAACAGGCTATAAGCATTGTGTAATTTCCACTTGACTATCTAGGTTTAATCTTGAGGATGACATCGAAATGAAAGTCAAGTAAGTTGTTTGGGCGAAGTCAGTTGTTAAATGTTTGTTCTTTTATTCAGTATGTATGATATGTAAAAGAAGTGAGGCTTCAATTTGGATCAGCTAATTTCGAATACACCTAAGAGAATGTAAGGGAACTCCATTATTTAAATGTGAACTTGATAGTAGTAAAGATTTCAAATCCATTTGTTGTAATCCACATTGCTTGATTACCTGGCAAAGGACCAAAGCTCATGACACTTTCTAGACCCTATGAGTGAAAGTGTAATGTCAAAACTCAGTTCAAACCAGTTCATTAGGTACTCCTTATATCCTATTGCCAAGTTTTTGTTTCATATTTAGAAAATTGTGATTATGTTGTATTATTTTTCAACTCTCAAGCTTGAACTGATTTTTCTTTCCTGTTCTCTACTTCTTTTGCAGATTAGACGTCGAAAAGGTTGTGAATGACCAAAAGAGTTTGGAAAAGAAAGAGTTGGCTATGTTCTCAATCAGCTTATCGTTTGCATGTATTGCAATTCTCAAGTTAGTTTCACATAGATTTCAAACAACATTCGCGACAAGTCGAGGTTGGCTGTTGATTCTTGTTAGCAGCAGCTTAATTGCATGTGTCACATTGTTTTATAGTTAAATCTACTAACCTCATTGCTAGATAATCTTCATACTTGTAGAAACTTGTTCACTCATACTGAAAAGCTTAATTGAAAAGAAGTTATAGAAATTTTTTTCCACTGAAGATTATGGACTGCAACATTTACTAATCTTGTTTCTTATGTTTCCCATACTCTTCAAGTTAACTATGTTATAAGTAGGGGTGTGCATCGGTTCGTTCAGTTTAGTTTCATGTATTGTCGGTTTTCAGTTTTTAAATACTATGTATCAATAACCAAATCAAAAAGATATTTTTTATTGCACGATAATGAAAAATCTCATTAGAAAAGTGAAAATATTTTTAAAATATTCTTTTTAGTCCTCAAGGCTAAATATATTTATTTGTTAACTCTTAATTCATTTTATTAGTAACACTTCAATTATTTTATACTAGGTAATTTATCTATGTGTAGTAATCACCCCATTAAGCTTAGAATGATCCTTTCTTAATATTTGAATTTTAAAAGTAGCTTCTATTTTCTTTTTGGAAAAATTATAAGATATCAAGATCATTCCAACATAAATTAAAAGATTTTGAAATCGTCACATATCTCATATGAATTGGTGGTGAACTCAATGGTGTATGTTACAGTGTTCCTTTTACTATGAAAAAATATGTTAGATATGTTCAATTGAGTGAAAATTTTGAATTAAATTGTGCTATTTAAAAAACAAATGCTACATTTCTTAAATTTATTAGAATAGAACTTTTCTTGTATTTTGATGTTATAGTAAAATGCTTATACAATAGTATATGTGTAAATGCTTGATTGGAAATTTTTTCTCACAAGTGGCAATTGGCAAATAGTGTCATTTTTTTACTGTATATAGTTAGAATAGAAAAGAAAAAAATTAAGCATTTTTACTATACATAAAAAAATTTTAAAACAATAGTCTAACAAGGAAAATAAAACAAATAAATTGAAATGGTACTACACGAACATCCTAGTAATTAATGTATTGCCTATCTGTTTTAATTTAAAATTCATTTCTCTAATTATGATCGCGACAACAAATGAAACTCCCCTTAGAACAATTATATAGGACAAAGCAGAACTCATGGTCAAGCGCCACACAATTGAAACAGTCGACAGAAGCTTTAGAGATATAATGGACACCAATGAACCATTTGGTGGAAAAGGCCATAGTCTTTGAAGGCGATTTTCGACTAGTTATTTCAAAATCTACACAAATAGAGACAGTTAATGCTAGTTTGATAGAAATCTTATTTGTGGCCTTTAATGGATAAAATACACTTTCACAACAAATATGCGAGCAAGAACAGATCCAAAGAGGGATACTTCCATAGAGGAAAGCTTAATATCTTCCATCACTCCAAAAATCCAAATTTAGCAACGCTTATAAAGGGTAAGGACGATCTTAGCAAATCAAAATGAATAGGTAGATGAATTAAACGAGATGTTGATAGATAAATTTTCTCAACTCATAAATGATTTATCGCGCGTTTAACAACTACATTCAAAAAAATACAACGGCACAATCTGCTGGCAGTTATGTGTTCATCTCATGAATTCAACTTTCTCCGCTTGAAAATGAAGGATATCCTTTCAAATTTACAATGACGATAAATATATATAGTATATGAACAAACAATGCCAAATGTTTTACTAAATTATAACTCTGCCAAACACATCCTTCTTACCAAAACTTCCCTTAAAAGAATATATCAGTAGAATTAGGTATTCACAACTCAAAATTTCTGCAACTCAAATGGCTTCTAAAGCCTCCAATCGCAGAAAAAGAGCTCCATTTCCATCAAATCCAATGGAAGATTCGAACTTGACTGAAATCCTGCCACCTGAACTCATCACTGAAATCCTTTTGAGGGTTCCCGTGAAATCCCTCTTGAAATTCAGGTCTGTATCGAAATTTTGGCTTGCTTTAATCTCTAGCCGTGAATTTATCAAGAACCATCTCAGTTTATCAGCTAGTAACCACCATGTGCTTATTTCTATTCAGAATAGAGATTGTAAGTGGAATTTCAAAGAATGTCTTTTTAGGTCTTTATTTAATGACTCTGTTACTGAGGCTTTTGACTTGAAGTATCCCATTGAAGACAACAGTAAACTTATCGATATTTTGGGTTCTTGCAATGGATTGATTTTGCTTATGGGTTATATAGGATATTTGCTTTTATGGAATCCAACAACTAGAATGCATAAGAAATTGCCTAATCCTAGACCTAGATGGAAGAACTACTATGACGATTATGGTTTTGGATATGATGAGCTTCGTGACGATTATAAGGTAGTGGGTATTTTTTATATAGCAGGCCGTTCACATGGGAGTGAGGTCAAAATATATAGTCTAAACAGTGATTCTTGGACTAATATTGATTATTGTGATGAGGAGATATTAAATACTGCAGACTCTGGTAGAACAATGAGATTAAGAGATTCTGGTTTTTTTGTTAATGGGAAGCTGCATTGGGATACGATTACTTTTAGTCCTAATTTCGATGATGTGCGTAAGTGCAGGAGAATTATTTGTTTTGATTTAGCTAATGAGAAATGGGAAAAGGTGGAGAAGCCCTCGTATGGAGTAGGAGAGACTGATATGTGTATGGGAATGTTGGGAAGTGATTTTTGTGTCTTTAGGGATTACAACAAAACTCAGTTAGGTGTTTGGGTTATGAATGGATACGGGGTTAAAGAGTCTTGGATAAAGAAGTTTACCATCACGTATCCAATTAAGAAAGATTTATGTCCACCTCTGTTCATGTCAAATAAAGGTGAAATGCTGGTGGCGTTAAGAACAATTACTTCCATTATGTACGATTCAGAAGACGACGCATTCAGAAATCCACATGTTATTAACTGCAATGACTTCCATGGAGTGGCAGTATACGTCGAAAGCTTAGTTTGTCCTTTTTCAACTGAAGTGACAGAGAAAGCAACAAAACAAAGGCCGAAAAAGCTCAGATCAAAACAATTGAGAAACAAATAATTTGTAAGAGTACTTTCTTCTCAACTTCTTTAAATTTTTGTTTGATATTTCAAATATAGAACAAGTCATTGCTGCTAATCGCTAGATGTATATTTTCTTGTGATACTTGTCACCTCCCACTAACAACATGTAACTCTATCTATCAAGAGTAGGACAGATGAGAAGAAATAACCTAGTGTTTTTGTATCCTCTGTTGGAATTTGAGCCTGATACCTCGTGGTTCTCAATCCACTTTTAACACTTCATATCTATAAATGTCGATGCCTCTTATTCTTTATATGTCATGCTATCAACTTTGTATTGATATTTTGGAATTTTGACCCAATTCACTGAAAGGAAAATTGTTTGACAGACCTGCGCATTCAGCTATGTATTGATATATGAATGCTAACAGTCTCTGTATGTTCTATTTGCTGATTTGCATCTGTTGTGAGCCATTCAATTGAGGTAAAATATCTTGCACTTCAATCTACACTACCTTAGAATAGATAGGGCTCTATTAAACGAACCTTACACCCCACCCTCATGATCAAAGCAGCTAAACGTAGCTACCTAAATTCTTTATCCTTGCAATGTGGTCTTGCTTATGTCAGTATTACTGTCGAAGTGAAAGAAATGACCAAAATAGTAAAGAGAATGAGAACTTAGAACCGAAGAAAATATACATCTAGCTATTAGCAGCAAGGAGCACACCAAAACTAGTCCAGAAGATATCCTTCACATGCACATCTTATTTTATATTTGACATAACAAACAAATTTTAAAACACTTGAGAAGAAAGTACTCTTACAAGTTATAAGCTTTTTCTGCATTCTCTGTCCCTCGGGTTGAAAAAGGGAAAACTAGGCTTTCAAGGTAGAATTGAGCATATTGACCGCCATGACAATTAGTAATATTTGAATATCTTAATGATTCACCTTTGGAAATGTATATCATGGAAGTTACTCCATATTAACACCATCAATTTTTCACCTTTAATTGACACGAAAAAGGTTGGATACCAGTTTGGATTAGTTGGATGTGTGATGGTAAACATCTTTATCCAAGGTTCTTTATTACCATACTCCTTCATAACCCAAGCAGCTAAATGAGTTGTCTTATAATCAGTAAAAACACATATATCACTTCCCAACGTTACTGCACACATTTCAGTCTCTCCTTCTCCATAGGAGGGCTTCCCCACCTTTTCCCATTTCTCATTAGCTAAATCAAAAGAAATAATGTTCCTACCCGAATACTCAACTGGATCAAATTCAGGATCATAAATATAAGTATCCCAATGAAGCTTCCCATCCACAAACAAACCTCCACAATTTAATCTATACTCATAATAGCCAGCACACTTTTTCCTATAGAATGTCTCATCACAATAATCAACACTAGTCCAAGAATCACTCTTTAGACTATATACTTTGACCATAACATCATCTGAACTGCGAATAATATCATTATAAGAAATAAGAACTATCTTATAATCATCATGGAGCTCATCATATCCAAAACCATATGCAACACATTTGTGTTTTTCCAATCTAGGTCTAAAAAGAGGCAAATCCTTGTACTTTCTAGTTGTTGGAATCCATAAAAGGGAATATCCTACACAATAATGGGCAAGATAAATCAATCCATTGCAAGAACCCATAGCATAGAGCCCATGAATGTCATTTTCAATGGGAAAATCAATTTCAAGAGCCTCGGTAACAGAGTCATGAAATAAAGATTTAAGAGGACATTCTTTATAATTACATTTCTCTTCACCAACATCCAAAAAAAAGTACATGGTGGCATGGTGGGTGTCTTCCTTATTCTTGTTATTAGCAGATAGATTGAGATGAGTCTTGATAAATTTAGTACTAGAGATTAAAGCAAGCCAAGATTTAGAAACCGACTTGAATTTCAAGAGGGGTTTTACTGGAAGCCTCAAGAGAGACCGACCTGCTGGCAGAACAGGAATTGTCAAGATCGAATCCGGCACTGAGTTTGATGGAAATTGAGTACCATTGGAGAATTCGGGTTCCATTTGAGTTGCACTTTGAAGGGTTTATCGGCTCAAATAAAATGACCATTTATATCCTGCTTAGAAATGCACATGATAAGACTGCGCTAGATTTTTGTGATCTATTGTTTTTTTTTTTAATTTCAAGGTTACGGAGAGTTAAGTGTATCCAAAAAAAATTCGTATTTATTTTTAAATGTACTCCTTGCTGCTAATGGCTAGATGCATATTTTCTTCAGTTCTAAGTTCTCATTCTCTTTACTATTTTGGTCATTTCTTTCACTTTGAAAGCTACACTGACATAAGCAAGACTGATATAGTTTTTGTTTGCTTATTGCTAAGTTTAGCTGCTTTGATCGTAAGGGTGGGGTGTAAGGTTTGTTTTATATAGGCCTATCTATTCTAAGGTAGTGTAGATTGAAGTGCATTGTGCTTTTGCCCGAGATAGAAGGGTTGGTTCTGAGATATGCATTGGAATGTGTGCCGAATGTTTTGATGTTAACCATGAGAGTGACTCTTATGGATTTCTAATAATTGAATCTACAAGGAGCATGGATAGATTGTTGATAATTTGTTTCTCAGACTGATATAGTTTTTCTCTGCTTATTCCATTTGTGCATAAATCAGTTCTGCCCGTCTAGTTATTTCTTCAGTCAAGTTCATATGACAACAAAAGTGCGAGAACTTGAAATCTATTCAAAATCGTTATGGAAAGATTTTATGTGAACCATGTGAGTCACAACATCACATTAGTTATGCCTGAATATGATGTATTATTTCTTGCAAGTTTATGGATTTCAAATTCGTTCAACCCAGAAGGTGCTTGGATAGATTGTTAAGTATATATTTCCATTAGGTAGATATCATTTTTCATTGCCTATTTTACTTATGTATATAGTTTTTTTTTATGACCGCAATGTTCGGGCTAGCTTTCGCACTCCTCAACTAATTCCATAGGATACTTGCCACCTCCCACCGCAGCAATAGGTATCAGGTAACTTTGTCCAACAAGGTTAGGACAGATGAGAAGAAATCACCTGGTGTTTTATTTTTGGTCTACGTTGGGATTTGAACATGAGAGACCCCAGGGTTCTAAATCCACTTCAAGTGACTTCATTGATCACTGGGTGTTGTGTATTTAGTGTTTTTGGAGGTCGTGTTATTTCTTGATTCGAGTTTATTATGTGTTCTTTGTCACTGCTCTTCTGTAGTTCTGTTAGCTTTCCATAACTGTATTTCTGCTATAAGCAGAGAGATCTGCAACCCAAAAAAATAGAAGGCGTGCAATTCAGTAGGCCAAAGTGATATTTTAATCTCTTCGTTTATCTATCTGCTGGCAGTGAGACAGAGCTATAGTCCATTGGAAACTGTGTCGATATGCACCAGATTAATATCAATATAGGTGCTTTTGATGCTAATAGTATCTCTGCTGCTAAACTTCTACAACACCAGAAAAAGGCTTTGGATACTGTGTGGAAATTCGGTGCTCAATTACTTTCCCTAAAGGACCCTATTTAAGTTGAGCTTGCCAATTAGTTTAATGAGCCCAGGCGGGGCTTCTGAATTTAGCGAGGGGGAATATGTACTTAGCTAGTTGATAGATTATTGTCTTTTGTTTCATATTTGGAATATTGTGATCATGTTGTGTTTTTTTTCAACTGTGAGACTGAACTGCTTTGAACTTGTTTTGCAGATTAGACGTCGAAAGGTGGTGAATGATCAGAAGAGTTTGGAAATGAAAGAGTTGTTCGTGTTCTCAATCAGCTATATTTTGCATGTATTGCAGTTCTTAAGTTTGTTTTACATAGATTCCAAACAGTATTCGCGACAAGCTGAGGTTGGCTGTCAGTTGATTTTTCCAGCTTAACTGCATTTGTCACAATGTTGTATTTGATAATGCACTACCATTACTTATCTTGTTTCTTCATGTACCATATTCAGTATTCTTGAGTTGGATATTACTTTCTTGGAGATGACAATCGTGTTATTGTTATATGAGGTGTCGTTTGGGATAAGGCACAAGTACCCCCAAGACTATGACCGAAATCCCATGACACACTTAAGTGTAATAGGACCCTAGTTAAGTTTAAGTGTGTTTCTGAGATTTCGGTCATATTTTGGGGAGGTACTTGTGCATTATCCCGTGTTGTTTCAATTATAACTTTACAGTTATTATCATATATGTAATTGCTGAACCTATATTAGAAATCATGGACAACTAAAATCGAATAATATGGGGCGCTTTTTTTCAATTATAACTTTCACCAATACATCACAACTCACGTTGTGTTGTATATTTGAAATGATAAACAAAATTTGAAAGCATTTGAGAAGGAAGTACTCTTACTGATTTAAGACCAATAAGTTTGAGTACTTTTATCAATAAAATCATCTCAAGGTTGATACATGAAATAATTGCTATTATCCTTCCCACACTCATTTACCCAAACCAATCTGGTTTCATTCGAGGAAGAAGCATTACAGAAAATGTGTTCCTTGTACAAGAAATAATAAGAGATATCAATATGAGAAACAAGTGGTAGAATGTAGTGGTGAAACTGAATATGGCTAAAGCATATGATAGGGTCTCTTGGATATTCCTTACGAAGGTCCTAAGGAAGTTTGGATTTTCGGAGAGAATGATTAACATGATTTGGAGATTGACATCAAATAATTGGTACTCATTCTTTCAGTCGTCTAGGGGCTTAAAGCAAGGGGGTCCCTTGTCACCAACTTTGTTTATCATAGCTGCAAAGGTGTTGCCCCGTGGACTGAATAAATTACAGGAAGATGGAGAGTATAGGGGTTAT